CCCCCCCCCCCCCCCCATGAACCTTCTTCTCTACTCACGGTTGTCGTGGATACAGCATATAATCCCTCTCTCCCTCTCAGGCGTACGTTTCCTATGAGATAGTCCTGAGAGGGAGGACATGGGGACGCCATGTTTTCTGAGACCAATACGGTTGACAGCGATGCACAGACACACACAGATCCCTCCGGCCTCCGTTTCGGGGGTGCGTCTTCGATCTGCCGGAGGATTTTTGTGGTGAATCTGCGGATTTGGATAGAGTTTCTAGGTGAGGATTGCAGAGTTTCTGTGAAATTACTTTGGTTTATTGTCGCAGGGTGTGTCATTTGTGTGATTTCATTGGCAAATTTGATATTATTCTTGCTGGAAATGCCGTTTTCATTCCCGGAAGGTTTTTCCGTGTGGGTGGGTATTCCGTGGGTTTTAATCTCCATTATTGGAAGTCAGTTAAAAATGGTCATATCTGCCTTTTCTGTTTGAAGTTTCATTCTCATTGTAAAAAGGTGTTTCATTCGTGATGGATTTCTGGATCCTGTGATGAAGTTTCTTTTCAATGAGCATCGAAAGAAGTGTTTCCTTGAAAATACGTCTAATGTGTAATTCCCTTAGGAGGTTCGAAATTTTCTCGGGATTCTCCTGAAAACCGTGCTCATTCGCAGCTTCTTCTGAAATCGGTTCTTATTTCTTGACAATCTTAACTAGAAAGGAGGGACCGATTCGATTCCCTTTCGAGGACCGTATTTGAAATTCGAAGAGCTTGATCCTTCTTCTAAATACTGTACCAACAATTCTTTTGAATGAAATTTTATGTTTGGGACTAAGAGGTTAGACAATAAGTCCTACAAGAAATACCTACGCGTTTTTGTTTGAACCAGCGTTTAGGAAGCTTTGGTCCTATTCTACGAATGAAATGTTTTATTTTTGTGGATTCAAAACAGTGGACTGAAAATAATTTATTACTGTGTCCGCAGACTGTGATTAAATATTTAGTGCATATGTAGTGAGCATTGCATTCTAGAAGTGAAGTCAAGTTTTTTTTGCCGGAGTGAATTCACGCTGTGTTGTGAATTACTGTATTACCTACGAGTAATTCCCTGCTTTCTGATTTTTGCAAAATTTCTGTGAAATATTCATGACTTAAAAAAAATATGAACCTTTCTTCCCTTTCCTGACTTGATAGGAATTTTTGTGATGAAATTTTCCAAAGTTTCCGCCGCAAGGAATCGTCAACATTTCGTTATGAAATCTCCGACGAGAAGTGAAATTTGAAAATTTTCGCGATCATTTTTTGCAATACCTGGAAGATTTTGAAAAAGAATGCGCATGGGTTGCCCGGCGAAGTGCGCAAAGGCGCATCTTGTGGCATTCAACTTCTTTTTCTGGGTGAGAAAATAAGCTTTTTGTGTTGGCGCAACCTAGGGTGTCATCTATACCTGAGACTCTCAACCATTTTTGTAATGGAGTTCACCTCCTTCAAGATGTGTCAGTGTTTCAAATTTTTTAAGGTTTACCACCTGATGAAAGTTCCAGCTCATTCTGTATTGTATTCACTTTTGAAAATGGTCAAAGTCATTGGATTGTGATTTTCTTGTTGTTCTCTTGTTGGATGTATGGAGATGTGAATAATTTTTAGAGTGTTATTCTGGTTATTATCATCATGAGTATTTCTTTTGTGAAGAATTCAATCGGATTAAATATTCAGTTTAAAATATTCAAGGTACCAACAGGGCAATTATAGGCGAAATGCTTTAAAAATTTCACCACATGTATACTCTCTCTAAAAAAATTGTCTACAATTTTCTATGCATAATAATTTATTTTGTCCCCATAGGTTTCTCTACCCATTGAGTCTGGGCTTTCTAAAGTTGAATTCTTTCTGCAACAAAGTGGTTTTCTAGTCCTTTGAATTTTGTTGTGGAGAGATTCCACCTGTAGTACCTGTGTTTAAGATTCTTTGCCAAAAATACTTTTTTTTTGTTCTTGCAATGTTTCCTCTAGTAGGTAACAAATTGTTTCTGCTGGGTTTCAAGAAAAGATTTCTTATCCTCTTTTAACTGCACTGTATCTGACTTACTGTACTGTTCATGACTTAAATTTCTGTACTGTATATTACTTTTCTACCGTACTGTATATTAACTTTTCTACTGTACTGTATATTACTTTTCTACTATACGGTATATTACCTTTCTACTGTACTGTATGTAACTTTTCTACTGTACTGTATATTACTTTTCTACTATACTTTATATTAATTTTCTACTGTACTCTATTACTTTTCTACTGTACTCTATATTACTTTTCTACTGTACTCTATATTACTTTTCTACTGTACTCTATTAATTTTCTACTGTACTGTATATTACCTTTCTACTGTACTGTATGTAAAAGGATCTAATGCAGTACAGTATGTCATTTCTGAAACCCATCTTGTCAATATAATAGCTTGCAGGACGCCTGGGGCTCCATGGAGCACTGGTTGAGAACCCATGCAGTAGATTCACGCAACAGGGTTTTTCCTGATTATTTCTTTTGCATTTATTATCTGTCCATCAAAAAAAAATTAAGAAAAAAAGATGCATTGAAACCGTGTGTGTGTGTGTGTATGTATGTATTGTTAACAATAACAGATCTCGGGATGCGTGTTGCTCGCTGTCGGAGTCTGGATCCTAGTGGACCCATCCAAGAAATACCTCTTTGAACTGGTGTCTGCCAACATGGGTACTTTGTTTATGATTTTGTAGGGTTGAAATAATGTTGAGAAAATGTTTCAAGCTTTCAAAGATCTCTTGGAATTGTCCTACACCTGAGAGGTTTAGACTGTTTTTGAGGGACCCTGAATCCATTTTCTGGCTGTTGTACCTCTGAATTATGGATTTTTTTTTCTTTGAGTATCACGCTTACGTCATATCACAATTTTCAGTCTAAAATAAAAAAAATCATAGTTTCAAGTAAGAAGCAAAAACCATTTTTCAGGACTGAAAAATTGCTAGAGTGAAATTTCATTGCAAAAAATATTGTTATAACAACTTTGGCATGGTGTCTCATTTTTCTAAGATACCTATGAGTTTGTTGTTTGTTGTAGTGAGTTTTTTTTACTTCAGATATTTGGAAGGAAAATTGTATCAAAATTTGAATTTTGACTTTTGAACCTACATTTAATAGTTTTTCACCTTTTAATTGTACAGTATAACATTTTTTGAATGTCCCTTGGAGTTTTTTTTCAATCCAATTTTCTTGTTCACTGGGCCCTGGAGATGCAGACATGATTGGTGTTTGAACCTTGTCCCTATGTTGAATTGTCCACATGTCAAAGCTTGTTGGCCCATAGACTTCCATGTAAACTTATTCAATTACTGTTCCATTTTGTCAAAAATTAGGAATAAGTCTTCCAGAAAAAAGAATTTTAATTGTTTACCACAACTTCAACTTATAGAAAACAGCGGTGCGGAAAAAAAACCAGATATAATCTGATATTGTGGCATAAAAAGGAGACCAAAAAAACAAACAAAACAAAGAACAAGACTAAGTCTTGCTATAATGTGTGCAGATGATAGAACAAAACTCTGAAAAACAAAGCACAAAATCAGGTTTTTTCATATTTTGAATCAGAGAAAATGTATATGGAAATATATTCAAATTTTTGTGATTAAAAAGACCTCACACATCAAAAGTAAAAAATATTTTTTTACTTTATTGGAAATTGCCAGCAAAGTGAGCCAAAGTCTGGATGTTGGGCCAGATTCTTTTGGTTTATAGTGGGCCTAAGTTGAAACATTCATGTGTTGAGGTGTCTACAGATCAGGGTCTCACTGTACTGTATTTCAAAAATAACATAAAAATTTGGATTTTGATGCATTGAAATGAACCAAGATGTAATTTTTTCTTTGTACTGTATTTTCATATTTATTTGTGGGATATATGTGTTGCATTGCATTTTTTGAAGGGCCCTGAGTGTTCATGAGATTTCATTTACAGTATATACAGTACTGTATATATTTCAGCAACAAAATCTCATCAGAATTTTAGTTTTGACTACCATTCAATTGAACCCACATTCAATTGTTTTTCTTGCATTTTAATTTCTAATTTTAATAGCTTTTCTGAAAGGCCCCTGGGAGTTTGTTGTACTGTAGTGAGATTATGCTTTACTGTACAGTACAGTATTCAAGAATGAAATCATCCAAACATTTGAATTTTTGAATGAAATTGAATTGAATCTTCATTTACCAGATTATTTTCATTTACTATATATTTTTTTTTTATACAGTATAATATTTGAATTACCGTATTCAAGGTCTCTGAGAGTTGGTTGGATAGTAATGATTTTGCAGAAGGTTTCCAAAAGTAAGCCTCAACAAAGTATAAATTCTGAATTTTATTCAACATGCATTCATTTATCTTTAATATTAATTTATTGTTCAAGCAATGTTGATTCCAATGAGTCCAAAATGCTGCATACAGAACTCAAATACTGTATGTCGCCTACCTAAACCTCATATGTTAAACCCATTACAAATTGAGGAGATACCTTTGTGAAAATTTGCTTAAAATTTTTGTTTTGGTTGACCCTGTATATTCCATGGATTCAGTTTGAAAATTACTCCGACTTGCATAAACATCATGGTTACGACGCCCTAACTACCTCGTTTCCTGATACTTTTATCGAACACCTACTTGTGTTGACGGTTCTTCTGGTACCTCCGTTACTGACACGGTTTCTCCTGTTGCGTGTTGCTTGACACAAAGGTGATGCTTGTGTCTGTGAAGAAATGCCTGTACAGTAGGTCCCTGTGTTGACAAGTGCATGGGAACGCACCCCTTCTCTTACCTCTCTTACTCCTTACTTTTATCCAAGATGTAAGGATAAAACAAGGCGTAAAAAGATCCAAATAAAAATACGGAAACTCAACTACCAAAGTTTCTTCTTTGAAAACTGTATATTTTCAGGAAGTTTTCATGTGTTTCACACACAGTTTAACTGGACTGAGGAAACTGAGATTACTCAGAATTATTTACATCAGACAATTGTCATAAATATGTGACATTCAGAGAATTCATTTGATGCATCCCATTGTCTTCATTGGTTGCATACTTATTCAAAATTATGTTGTGAATTTGATGTTTCAGAGCAATGAGGGACATATTTGTAGACTGATGGATACATTCCTGTTTTGTGCATGTGTGGATGAGAAATAAGCTCAGTTGAAATCTCATTATAGTAAACTTATGGGGACCAAGATGACTTTTTGATGTAAAGAAAATTTGGTGCAGATTCATGGTAAATTTCCTCCATAAATTACTTGATTCTTTGAAACAGTTTGCTTAGGGCATATCCCAAAATCTTTGAGCAAAATTAAATTTCCAGGCAGAGTAACAAAGATTCTCCAGTGAAAATTGAATCACTGTATTTTCAAGGAATAATACTCATCAATTTATTGACTTAATCTCTTATTTTCTGTTTGTAGTTTTTACCTAAAATTTTCATACTTCTGTTTACCTTTTCAATTTGAAATTGTTGTGGAAAGTTGATAAATCTCAATAATTGTGAGAGGTATGGGAAAATTTGTTATGGTATTTTGCACTTTTGTTCCTTTAAAAAGGCAATATTGGTCCTTCAAGTGAACTCACTAAAGAGAAATTTTTATTTGAACACTGTTTTGGATGGAGTAGTGTATGTGATCATACAGTGTTTCATGTGATTGGTTCAGTTGTTTTTGTTCAGGTCACTCCCTCCTGTTGTTGCCTCTTCTCAGGAAGCATGTCTGTAGGATAGGAGTATANTTAACACTTGTTTTGGATGGAGTAGTGTATGTGATCATACAGTGTTTCATGTGATTGGTTCAGTTGTTTTTGTTCAGGTCACTCCCTCCTGTTGTTGCCTCTTCTCAGGAAGCATGTCTGTAGGATAGGAGTATAGTAACCAGACTGGAAGTCTCAGGTATTTTACTTTAAATGTATTTTCATCTTGTGGAATGGAAAAAAAAACCTCAAATTTTGTTGTAGTCTCCAGAGCCATGGTTGAATCCAAAACCCAGAAGTTTGGTGAGGTGTCAGTCAAAGAAGGCACAGGACAATGATGGGTCACGCTATCAGACAGTGAGTTTTGTTTGCTTTTTAGATGGATCCCAAATTGGAAGGATTCATATTTTGCACAAGTGATGAAACAATTTTGTGTCTCAGGGTTGCTATGAGAAGATCCTTGCATGGTTTGAGAGGGACACAATGATTCTCATAGCCATTGCAGTTGGAGTTGGTGGAATGGAGGTGAGGGTCAAATGTAGAATATATTGTTCATTGAGTGACATCTGGTGTGAAAAGGTTGAGGTCAGGCAGAAACTCAGGGTGTTTTGATATTCCATGTGCAGTATTTTTAGGCTCATTGTTGCTTCCATCTTATTCTTTAAAATTGTATTTTGAAGAAGAGATTTTAATGCATTTGTGCTCAGGCATATTGTTATTTGGTATACATCAAAAGCATACAGCTTTAGAAGTTTTGAATCTTTATGTGTCAAGATTTTGTAAAGTATTTTGAACCAATTAAAAAACTTTATTTTGACTTTCAACAACTGTGGAAGCTAGAAAAAAAAGTTGATGGAGGCTCAAATAGAACTGAATTGATTTTCAAATGTTTTTCTTGCATACTTTTTATCACATTATCTTCCTGTGGAAAAGGTTAGCAGATATTTTTGTGGCAAAATTTACCCTAGTTCTGAAAACTTTTTTGAAATGAATTTTTTGGATAAATTTTTTGATAATTTTAACTGACAAATGATGGTGAATAGAAAATTGAAAGAAATGCTGCTCAAGGGAACTTATTTAAGCTTTTATTTGATCCAAGATTTAGATCTTGAGCTTTCAAAGTATTTTTGTTTGGAAATCTGTTTATGGTTTTCTGGTTCTCCATTTATGAGTATCATTCCTTCCATTTTACAGATTTTTGGGATGTTGTACTCAATCTGCTTGTGTCGCAGTCTGAGGGACGAGTGCTGAAGCCAAGAGACCATGAACTCGAATGTTGTCATTTATTTCTTCATTCATTTCATTTTATATTCCACTTGGATGTGACCTTCCAAAAAAAAAAAAGAAAAAAAAAGATGTTGGTACAGCAGGATAAAAAGAAGAGTAGGTAAACTTTGTGGTGGTTTTAAGGGGAAATAAAGCCGTCAAACGTTGAGCTTGGTCTGGAATGTGAATCATGCAACGTCAGCTTCCAAGTCTGCCCCCTTTTTCTCAAAAAATTTTCCTCTCCTCCCCCCCCCTTTTTTTTTACTTACCTATCCCCGCGGACACACACATTCTTGAGACTGGGTTTCATCATTTTTGGATAAATGATTGACAAGAGATTTTGTCTAGTCATCCCCCACCTGCCCAGTTTTGATTTCTATTTTTTCCTTTGAAGGTCTTCTCTTTTTTCTTTGCAAAACGAGAAAGTTTTTTTCCCTGGAAAATTTTCAGATGTTGTTGTTGTCTATGTGGGAGAAGAAGCAGGAAACAGAGAGAGAGAGAGAAACAAATTGAGTGTTGGTTGTTGTTTTTTTCTTCTTGTGAGTGTTTGATGTACGTTTTGTGTGTGCAGATTTTTTGAGATGGAAACAATGTGAATGATAGTGTGTTTTGTTTTCACTAATAAGCAATATATATACATATTTCACTAAGCAATATTTTCACAAATTGCATATTTCCATTTAAAAGTTGTGCTATATGACATACCGTTTTTTTTACAACAAATTTCTTTTCATGTCCCTGCTACTTTTAATGTCAATGTTTTAGAGTCTCAACAGAACATAATTTTTCTTTATGACTATACTTTGCCCTAGTGATTTTGTTGGTGCAAGCTTGTACTTCCATTGACTGTTGATAAACTGGAAATACTGTGAAGACTCAACAAATCCTTGCACTTTTACCCCAGATCCAAAAAAATTTGCATCCAAAAAGAATTTGTGGCTAATAAGGAAGTGCAAATTTTCTCCTGCAAATCTTCCAAAAATCTTGTGTCCTTTATCCATGAAAAACATGATAGAAAAAGCAGTAAAATTAAAGTTTGATTTGATTAATTTCTCCTTTATTGAATATACAGTAAATGAATGTTGACTGATTTTACTTCTTCAATTGGAAGCATGTTCACTGGGGTATGGGGTGTTTATTCCATGCAGAGATAACTTTAACCAAATTTTGCTGCTTAAATTGAAGGAGAGAATTTTATGCAAGATCAGCTGGTATTTGAGGGAATACAAAAATGTATGTACAGTATAAAACAAATCTTATTGTAAAAATTTCTCTGATTCCTGCTCATACTAATGAGGCTTGCATTTTACAGATGGCATAAAAAACATTTTTAATGATCTGAAATTTCACCTTATACCTTAGTAGAAGGAAGTAGAAATGAACACTGCATTAAGAAATCAAAATCTTGCTCAGGATAGTGAATTCGAAACAAGATTACGTTTTCAAAAGAAAACCGCCTTTGCAATTTAGTATATCTTTTTTTGCTGACTGTTGGTTGCTCTTGCTTGTGAAGGTCAAAGAGTGTAAAATTCATGTGTTTGTGTCTGTGGGGGGAATACACATTTGAATGTTGACAGGACTGCAGGAACTTTATCCAGGCAAGTACTGAATGGGTTGTCAGTGGCCTTATCTGGAAAATTATATCGCATCCCCTCCCCTGTCACCCCCATGGAAACAGTGTTGGTGATGTGCTGTATAATTTGAGTGGGAAAGAGTATGGGATTCCTGTACATTTGTTGTTTTTATCAAGAAAGCCCAAGTTTTTGGAGGAATATTTTCCAAATTTTGATACCCAACCAGAATTAATCAGGGTTTATATGCCGGTCTAATTTTTTTGTTGTTGGAAAAACAGTCACACAGACTGGATGTTTTTAATTTGTATTCAAGATGTCACCCTTGTTTACAAATGATTCTTGATGATCAAATCTGCTTAGTGGTCTCATTTCACCTACTGAATTTTCAGATTGATGCAATCTCCAGTTGGCCAAGTAAAATTGATCAAATTCATCTTTCTTGTTGGATGGATGACAGACAGTCCTAAGATTTTGTTGGATGGCATCATCCATTAAAATATTGTAATTATGTTTCCTGAGTTGTAGGGAAGTTTAAGATTCTTGACTTGAAATCAGAATCCAAGATTTCACTATTCTTCAAATTTAAATTTATTTATTTTAAAAGCCTGAAACTGTTGTATTGGACTTCAAATGGGTCAATGAGGTGGATTTAAGTTTCATAGCATAGTTTCTAATGTGTGCCAGAATCTGGATGTGTATAAATTCTGTTTAAAAAAAAGAAAGCACAGTACTGTACTCTACTTTACTGTACCTCTCTAGCTGTAGAATATTGAAATTTGAGGGTGCTGTAAAAATAATTCCAGGGCTGGAGTCTGGAAAAATCTCAAATCTGCAAATGAATATCACAGCTTCAATTGTTCACTGAAGAATTGCATGGAAGTACATGGCATTATTTTTTTGTTGCCAATTTGAGAAAAATTCCCACAGAATTCTATGGAAATACATTTCACTGAAGGAAAGTCATGAGTCACAATGGAATATTGAACAGGTCCAATTGTATTTTTTTGCTCAGAGGTGGTTTTTGCCTCTTTTTATTATTAATTTTTTTACAGTGTATCTGCTCTGCAATTCTACTCAGTTGGATTATTTTTGAAGCTATATTTATTTTTGTAGAAATTGATTTTCATGGGGGGTTATGTTTCCCCAGTGGGTAACACCAAAAATCCAGTCCCTGGGTGCCCTAATCCGCCGGCGGATAATCCCATAGGGTACTTGGAAACCCGAGGAGGCAGCAACTGAGTTGCCAAGGGCTTCCTTCCACAGAGAGATAAGGGCGCTGTTGATGCACAAGTCAGGAGAAAACTAGGAAAGAGAAATAGAAGGAAGGGAGACACCCGAGAAAAGCAGGGGAGGGGGGAGGGTTTGACAAAAATGGGAGAAACTTAGTGTGTCTCACTTGTTGTCTTGTCTGTCATTGGTTCTCTCTCTCTCTCTCCCTCACCCACTGCTCCTTCTTTTTTGCTCCTCTTGCTCCCGGCATCCGGAGTCGCGCGGTTTATCTCGCTGCTCCGCATTCTTGCCAACGAGGTCAAGGCCTTCAGTCTTGACATTGTCGCCTCTCTCTCTCCCTCTCTTTCTCCTTGTGTGTGTGTGTGTGTGTGTGCATTAGTTTATCACCTACAGTGAACGGGCTTTTATCAAGAATATCGATAGAACAACTTTATAGTTGCGGCGATTTTCTAAATTTTTTATTATTATTTGCAGTCGCGTTTACTCTTGTATGTATGGGAGTGTGTATCTCGATTTTTATCCCAATGACAGTGAGACCCCCACATGGGGACACCTCGACCTGCGGAGAATTTGACATAGGGACACTTATTTTCTCATGAAAAATTAATAAAAAGGCCCAACATGAGGACACTGACTCAACATAGGAACATTTTGTTATAAAATTGGAAATACATTTCAGGTCAAATTACAAGAAGCAGATATTTCCAACCCTGAAATTTGATGTAAGAAACGTTCTTGGGCATTTCTCTCACTAATTTACCATCCATTTAGGCAATTAAAAAAATCACCTCCAGCAGAGAGGGACTTCCTTCTCTCTTTTTCATTTGAACGTTATTTTTGCTGAGAATGCCAAAATTTCTGTGTACTGTACAGAGGTATCAGTATTCAATTCCCAAAATGCCCATGTTGTGTTGAAATATATTGATTGAATCAGTTTCAATTGGGAGACGATTTTTATTTTCATGGTATTATTGTGAGTATTTTGTACATAAAACACCAATTAAAAATTATACAGTATAATGTAAGTCTAATAGAAAATGAGACTCAACTTAGGGACATTTTGACTTAGGGACACTCTTCATGCACCAATTATGTCCGCATCTCGGGGTCTCACTGTACTTGGCAATCTCATTTTAACGAATTTGTAGTTTAGCTATATCTCTTTTCCAACTACAGTGACATTTTATTGAATCAAATTCTTGCTGGTGATGAATGTTCCTTGCAGTCTCTGCTTTATAAAAACAAATGGTTTGAATCTTGATGTGATGAATTTTATGCAGTATCTTGACAAGCTTTCAAGTCCCAATGTCATTGTGGTACCTAGATTGTACTCTATATTGCAGTTAGACTCACTGTCTAGGAAGATTTTGTCCAGACTGATTTTTCCCTGTGCAAAACAAATTTTTTTTGTGGGTTCAGTAGGGGTCTTCATCCATGTTTTATAGGTTCTCTGCAACAAAATTCTCTATTGAATCATTTTTTTCCTGGTCCCTTGCATTTTGTTGTAGAGAGAGTCCACCTGTATTTGTCTTATTTCTTGCATTTGAAGTGAAGTGGTTGTGTCATGGTCCCTCCTAATTACTGTGGTACCTGAATTATTTACACCTTGCAATACGGATTGGTTCAATGGTTCTGTAGGGGTCTTTACCCATATTTTAGAGGTTTCTCTACAACAAAATTCTTTCTGAAATTATTTTTCATTTGATCTCTTGGATTTTGATGTAGAGTGAGTCCACCTGTATTTGTCTATAAATTAAACAAGATATTAGACAAATACAGGTGGACTCACTCTACATCAAAATTAAAGAGATCAAATAAAAAATAATTTCGGAAAGAATTTTGTTGTAGAGAATCTCTAAAATGTGGGTAAAGACCCCTACAGAACCATAAGAAAATTTGAACTTTGAACTGGTGGTAACATCGTCCATCCTTTTGTCTGTGGTACTTTAATATCTTACTCTTCGCAATAATGATTTTTTATTGGTTCTGTAGGGGTCTTCACCCACATTTTAGAGGTTCTCTACAACAAGATTCTCTCTGAAATAATTTTTTTGGTCCCTTGAATTTTTTTTTTTGGAGAGAGTCCACCTGTATTTGTCCAATTTCTTGCATTTGAACTTTGAAGTGGTGGTGCCATTGTCCCCCCTATCTGTGGTACTTGGATAATTTACTCTATGCAATTTTGATTTTTTCATATGGGAACACAGGTTACCACCAATATTTTTTGAGATTGTGGAACTTGCTTCACATTGGAGACTTCATGAGAAATGATAATTATTTCAAGTGACAACAAAATTTTTTGGTGATATGGAAATTTGTTACAGTGAAGTAGTTGGGACTTGAAGAAAAATGGCAATTTTGCAGGATAATTTAATTGTAAGCTGGACTTTCTTACGATAAGATTTAAAGTACCAATATTCAATTTTATTCTGAAAAGTGTGAAACATTATTTTTAGTGGTTATTTGACATTGAGCTTGTAAAAAAACCAGCATAAGTTATAATGTATCATATTTGGGATTTGGAATTAAATGTAGTACAGTTGTAATATATTTTGCAATGCTGCATAATATTGTTTCCACAGAAGGAATTTTGACATGGGAATTTTCTCTTTGATGAAAAATTCGTTTTTTTTAGACTGAATATTGTGGCCAAACTGCAGGCACTTCCAAAAATTGCCATGTGCGTCGTGAGGTTTTTTTTTTTTATGATTGACATGATTCGCATAAGTTTGCATTGATGGACTTCTCGACGGTTGGCAACCTAGTAGCAGTCTCTATTAAACTATGATATATCTGCTCTGTTGATAGGCGGGGTTTTTTTTGCGATTAACGGACTACCCAATGAAAATGACTGAGTCCGTTAACCGAGTCACTGCCGAACGGCGCGGCCAAATTTCTTTTGGCAGTCGCTGAAAACAGTGCAGAAAAAAAAGAATTAGTAAAAAACCAGTGGGTGTTCCGTGTGTGTGTGTGTGTGTGTGTGTGTTGAGTGGAGAATGCGCCGGCGCCGTCGATGGTGTTGGGCGGCGGGCGCAGGAGAGGCGACGTTTGATGCTGAGATCAGCAGGGTGTTTGTCTGGCCCAACCCTGGGGCGCCTTTTCGGTATGATTTGAGCTTTATTGATATTTATTTATTTTTTTTTAAATTGTTGTAATCAAAGAATTCCTGTGCTCTCGTGTGTGTGTGTGTGTTTTTTTGTGTGGTTTGAAGTACGACGGACGTTTGACTTCCCGTCGGAGTACCACGTTCAGTACTGGGAAATTTCGGTCATTAAAAAAACTTTAATGTTGAAAAAATTGAATTATTATTACGGATAGACTCTCTCTGCGAGGAAATTCGAGGGACCGGAACAAATTTGATGCGAAGAAAATTGCTGTTGGTAAAAAGAGTCCATTTGTATTATTTAAATTATTTTCCCCCTGTGATTCGAAAGAAATGTATATTTTATAGTCGGTTATTTATTTTGCGCGAATTTCAGAATTTCAGTCGGTTGCTTGAATAATCATATTGCATGAGATATTGTAACTGGATTTTCGCATATCCACTTTGTTTGAAATCGATGAATGGGAACATATGCATACAGTAATTGATTTTTAAAAAGCTGTCATTTTTTGTGAACAGAAAGAGAAGGTATGTTTACTGGATTGGAAAAACATGTGTAAAAAATAGAAAATAAATGCCTGCATGTTATTGGAGAGACAAACTTCAGAGCTTCTATGATTAAAATAAAACTTTGGAGAAAATTATAAAAAATTAATTTTTGGAATAGTTTGAATTATGTTATTGTGTTTGAAGGTCTGATTCAGAGATAGGAAAAGTGGGCAACATTTTGTCATTGGCTATTTCCTAATGCATCACCGCTTTTCTAGGGATCTAATTTTGAAAGAAGATGCGATTCTATTCTTTATTACATGGGTTTAAAAATAGAAAGAGTTGCTGTGCTTTTTTTATATTGTGTGCGGTACATTATTTCATAGAACGGGAAGCTTGTCCGCCGGGACAACTGTTCTTCCAGGAGAAATGGACAAGAGTGCAGGCAAGATGTACAGGATCTCCCATAAAATATAAAAAAAAATTTTCAAGTGAGATTGACGTGGCATTCCCTCCCTGACCAAAGTGTAGATTCTAGCCAGTTGCTGAATCTTCAGAAAAGTACTGTATGTATAATCTATGCTTGTTGCTGTAGAAGTGGTCTTTAATATGTTGTAGTGCACCCTGTATATGGATGTGTCCCCTCTTTTGATTCATGGATCAGGACCCAATTGGTATTGCCCTCATGACCAAATTTTAGATGACTAATGCAGTTTGAATTACTTACCCTATTTTTTTGGTGATACGTTTGAATATACAATTCAGTAACTGAATTGCTTGAGAATTTTTCAGTAATTTGTTGTAAGCCACCCTCTTTGTGGAACTGTCACCTCTTTTGCTTCATGAATCATGGCTGAATTGTCATTCCTTCCATGGCCAAAGTTTAGATGATTGGTGTACAGTAGTTTGAGCTATTTTCTCAATTTCTTTATAAAGTTTCAATGTACTGTACCTGTATTGCTTAAGAAATGGTCTATAATTTGCTGTAGTGCACCCTGTATATGGATGTGCCCCCTCTTTTGATTCATGTATCCAAGCTCAATTGGGATTCCTTTCATGACCAAATTTTAGATGACTAATTCATTTTGAATTATTTGCTTTATTTCTTGGTGAATTGGCATTCCTTCCATGGCCAAAGTGTAGATGATGATAGTGAAGAAGTTTATACTAAGTTCAAACATATTTGTATTGTTTGAAAAGTGGTCAATAATCTTTTTTGGCCACCCTGTATATGGATATGTAATGTAATCTTTTTTGATCATGAATAAGGGTCCAATTGGCGTTCCTCCCATGACCAAATTGTAGTTGATTCGCGTGTCTTGAATTATTTGCTGAATTTCTTTGTAAAGTTTGCATATTCAGTAGCTACATTGCTTGAGAGGGTGTCTATAATTTTTTTTGGGCCACCCTTCGTATGGATCTGTCACCTCTTTTGATTGATGAATCAGGGTCCAATTTACATCCCTTTCATGGCCATACTTTTCAAGTTTATAAGATTAATGTACAGTAGTTGGAATTATTTGCTCAATTCCTTGTTGAAGTTTGCATATACTGTACAGTATTGTTTGAGAATTTTTCTGTAATTCGTTTTGTTTTTGGCTACCCTGTATATGGATGTGTCACATCATCGAATTACACTACAGTATATGCTCAGTTTCTTGATAATGTTCGTACATACAGTACAATGCCTGTATTGCTTGAGAAGCGGTCTGTAATTTTTTGCAGGCCACCCTGTATACAAATGTGTCACCTCTTTTGATTGATGAAGCGGCGGCGCCTAATTGAGCCAAGTAATTCCCCTATGCTTCGGATGCAGAGGCAGTGTAAGAAGGGAATGCCTCTGGATTCGTTCAAGGTCGCGGTCGCGGCGGCGCTCCCGGCATGGTTAGGCGTCCCGGGGGTGTTGATGGTTGCGTACTTGACCGTAATGCTCGTCCTCGTTTCGCATGGGCGCCGCGGCGGCGGCGGCGATGGACGACGGCGACGGAAAGGGAAAGAGGGAAGAGCGTCAGCCGGGAGGGAGGAGGGGAGTCGAGTGAGTGTTTTGTGTGTGACTGTGTAAGAATGCTCATGTGTTCGTCAGGTACGTAAGGGGGGTTTTCCGAAAGTTACGCGAATTATTTTTCGAATGTGTGAACCGCAGGTGAATAAAGTGTGACTCAGGTTTTATTTTGAATATTATCCAAAATCCGCCTTCATTGCGAGACTAAATTAATTATTTTTTGGTCGAAAATACGATTTTTGAAAATTATACCCGTCCAGATTCGGATAATGGACTGCAAGCAAAAATGGTTCTTCTTTTAAAATGGCCGTGGAAAAATGGCGGCTGCTCATGCGAAAATTGTTTCGAGGGTATATTCCATATTAGCCCAAAGAAAACCATGATCCTTTAATCTGTAAAAAAATTCTTTTTTCAGTTTTCAAAACGAAATTTTAAATTTGAAATAAATGGAAGTTATTGCTTCAAAGTTTCTGAAATTTGCAAATGACACAATGAGGCAAAACATACACTCTTCTAATTTAATTTTCGGTTATTTAAAAAAAAACTAAGACACAGCTCAAAACTTGTCAAAAAAATTGATGTGTTCGTCACTTTATTCACTTCTCGAAGTATTTCCAAGGAAAAAAAAAGTCACATCATTTATGCAGAAATTCAAAGATTGCTTTTGGAAAAACATCAGTTGACAATGTTTTTCAGATGCTCGGACTGTCTCGAAATCAGAAATCACCGAAATGCATTTTCATCATACATTTCAAAACGTTTTATACACTGGGTCCCCTCATAAGGAAACTAATCCATTCCTTGATGCCTTAATCATCCTTCCTGTGTATCCTTTCAAAAGACGTCACTCGTTTTGTTGATATTGCTTGTACATTACTGTATTGAACTTAAAAATGTTGTCATGAAATGAAATACAATATTGTTAAAGTGAGCGCTGATTTTTTGCGAGCCCAAGAGGCAGAAATTCGTTGGTGACTTGAAGACTTGTTAAACTTTATTGCATTAGACTTTGGAGGGAGGGAGTGGGAGGAAAGGGCGAGGACAGGGAAGCGGCGTGGCGGGAATGGACTTGACATTGCCTAGGCGGGGATTTAGTGTCCCGCTGTGGAACCTGTCCGGTCGTGGAAAATGCAGTACTGTATACTGAAGATCAGACAGTACCGTGAATCGGAAATGCAATTCTTCATGGCAAAGTATTGTTTCCAGCAAAATCGTGTTTTGGGCCCCATTCCCAATAGCCACAATATTACTTGAATTGGTTCACTAAATTTGTTATTCAAGTACAGGCTAACCTCCTTAGTCAAACTTCTAGAGACCAACAAAAAATTTTAATGAAGCAGGAAATCTGACTTGATAGAGGCAAACAAGCATTTTTGTTGGGATTGCAAGAATAATTGAAGGAAACTTTGATTGGTCATATTCTGGGCTGTCCATAGTTTTGTATGTGAGTTGACAGGATGCTGAACTTCAAGGCAGGGGTTCATTGGCTCAATTAGTCTTTCAATTCCTTTCAAAGCATGTCTGTCAATTTAAATTTTTATTGGTTTTATTATGTATGTGTCAATATAGTAATGGCCACCAGGCTATCCATAAAATTTGAGTTATAGAGTTTTGAAAGGGGGAAAGCCTTTGAGTTGGGAAGGTTTTGATTGCATTGTTTCTGAGGAAGTTTAAAAAATATATATGCACAGGGAAGTACTGGACTTACTGAGGTTTGAGTCATCAAGGTCCAAGTGTAACAAAGTAAGTTTTCATGGTCCAACTTACTTTGTGATGCATGTTTCAAAGAACTGAATGTCTTTAATTCTGTAATGCTCAGTATCTTGCATCTGTCTTTGTTTTCACAAGTATTCTAATGCTATAAAATAATTCTCATGCATTGCTTTCCAAGCTCTTAATTGCCTGCAGTTTGGATTATTGATTTCATGTGCAACATGTCCTCTGAACACATTTTGGAATGGAACTAGCAAAGCTTAGACTGAATCACTCTTTGATGGGCAAGGTGAATGGCTTACCAGCCAGGATGGGTGGTCGCCTGACACATGAACACTTTCTTTTCATGAAACTTTTCCCATTATTCACTGTCCCTGCTTGCTGGTAATGACCATGGTGCTTCAATTACAATTGAATGAAAAGGGGGGACATTTAATGATGTTGAGTTCAAGGCTTGTCAAACTGTGTCATATCTTCACCAAACATTGAAGTTTTGCAAATTTAGTGGTTTATTGACCGGTGTACTGCAATGTACTTTTTTATATTTTGGAATGTGACATGAGATGGCAATGAACTATGATGGTCATGATTTCAGTACAGTGTTTGAATGTAATTACTGGGTTTTGATTTGTGCATTAGAGACATGATTTCAATTGTCTTTCTTCTGTCTCCAGTTTTCATCTGGACAATTAACAAATTTTTTTCCATTTGGGCATAGAAGTAACATTAGACTAGTGATATTTGAATTGCTTGTGATCATGGAACAAAGGTAAATTTAAAATTTGTACTCCTGGACAAAGTTGAGAATAACCATTTTGACTTATGTATATGAAATTGTTCTGTATTGCATATTTCTTCAATTAGTACAGTATTATTTTGAACTGAACATCTTCAGCATAGGATCCCTGTGTATGGCCTTGTTTGCAGTCAATGAATCAGGTTTGAAGTACAGCATTTTGAAATGGCATTTGACATTTTCTTGAATTGAAAAAATGTACAGTTCTCAAAATTATTCCAGCCACAGACCAAGCAAATTTTCTGTGGAATTAAATATTCCAGCCAGACCAGTTCAGAGTAGAATACATGTGAGGAATATTGAAATGAGCTTGGTAAGTTTTTTTTTCTTGCTGAGGTAAGCACTATTAATGCTTCCCAGTGGTGTGACCATTCAGAAAAAGTTTGCGCAATGTAGTATTCAGTTAATGATGTGATTTGGATGTCTAGAACAGTCACTGCCATTTAAATGGCTTTTACAGTCAGTGACATTTCAAATTTTAAAAAATGTGCTATGAAACTTCCTCCATGGAGCTGGTTGTGCAGGAGTAGATTTCTTGAGAAATTCATGGAAAGATACTGCAGGTTGAATTTTGCCAGTGATCAGAACTTTGTATGGAATTGAGTCTCTTTGAATTTCCAAGTTGGAGGATGCTACAGAGAGGAATACAAATGAATTTTTTTCCATCAAGGTGAATGTATGCAACATTTTTCTGGTAAGGAAGAAAGTTCTGTTATTTTCAATGGATCTTTTTTGCCTCATTGCATTCCCCAAGAAATGGTCTCATTGTTGGAAAATCACTGTTACAAACATTCTTCATCAAGTAAGAATATTGCACACACCCTGGCATCATTAATTAACAGTCACCAATGTGTTTTTCATTTGTTCAACTACCTTTAAATTTTTCAAGTGAGCAAGTGATACAATTTAAAAAAAATCAGAGATTAATTGTGCTACTCACATTTTTTGTGGAAATCTGAAGAAATCACTGCTTTGCTCTTCATTCAAGCAGAACACTTCCAATAAAAAACAAAAGTTCAATCCACAAGTGAAAGAAAGTAACATGTTTCCAGGAAGGGAAACACACAAAGACTGACTCAAAAAGTGTTTCTTTCTACGGGGTGTAGAACTAAGTGTAAAACATTACAGGATCATGACGTTACTCTTCAACTAACTGTCTGAGTTACTGTCATCAGTAATCCATAAAACACGTACGGACGAATCGACACACAATTTACAAGAGGAACAAGAGGAAGACAACAGAGGAAACAATTGTATGACTGGTGCACATTGTGCTCCCAGTTGCTGGGCCAGGTTTGCTTTGCAGGAATGATTTATTTATATGATGTTCCATGTGCTATATCAGAAGAATGTATTAATTCTCCAGGCAGAGCCAATTGGGTATCCACAGAATATTTTGTGAGTTGAATATGACAAAGTACCTGTAAAGAATTTTCCCCTCTGCTTTTGGTTTCCTAGATGATCCTTATAACATTTAAATTTCTTCTGCAGAAGAATCTGTTCTTGAAGTCCTCAGTGATTCTGAATTGAACTAGGTTCTGTAAAGTAAAATGAGGGTGCAGGCAATACCTTTCTCTACGAAGAACTTTTTTATAGAACTACGTCATGTACTAGTTGGTCTAAGTACCATATGGAACGTTCAAACGATAGTTCTTTTTTCTTTAACAACCTTGTAAATAAAAGAATGGTAAAGGATTTTCCGCATGATTCAGGCGACACCTGAGTGACATCAGTGGAAGCAATTTTTTTTTGCTCTGGATGACAGATATTTTCATGTAAGACTGTACAGGTTATTTTTTCAAGGTTGGAAGCAGGAAGCTTCTTCACCCATTTCTCCATTTTTCTACATTTTCTCTCCCCTCTCCCCCTGGATTCAAAAGCTCCTTGCACCATTTTTCATCCCTGTACTTCTGGTGAATCAAATAGACTGCAAGGTGAATGGGGTGGATTTCCTGAGTCCTCATACACACACACATACACGACACGCACTGTGACTCAAACGAGAGTTTTGAAACGGACTTCGTGACTTGTTTATTTTTACTTTTTTCATTACTTCTCGCACCTCCCATTTTACTTTAAAGTGAGAATTTTCACACCATAAGCAGGGAAGCCAGGAGTACAGTACAGTAAATGAACCCTCCTCCTGCCTCCTTGAATAAAGTCGGACACTAAAGGGGCGCGTGGGACATAGACAGGAAGGGAGTGACCCTTGGTAACTATAAATGAGAGCCTGTAAAGTTAGGGTGAGGGAGAGAAGACCACGGAGTGACAGAGAGAGAGAGAGTTTCTCGCTGTCTCCCGAAGTAACTTTGTCTGTTTCCTACAAATTTGAAGCCTGGCGCGCGAAAAGGAGTAGAATCCCATAGTTGCGACTGGGTTTTATTTCCCGTCCCGGGTTCAGTCGGCGCGTTGACGCGGCCTTGAGCACCGGCCCAATTTCCTTTTTTTTACCTTGTTTTTTGCGTGTCTTCATATACCGTATAATCGTACAGTATATGATTGACCGCCGTATGTGTTGATATGTGTTTTGTGCGTGTATGTATGCGTACTGTACTGTGTAGTCTATAAAAATATGATGGTTGATTCACAAGTTTGTGTCAGTTGATAATTATCATGGATGTGCCCTAAGTTCTTCTTTGTGCATGTGTTCCAAGGAGCTTTTGACAACGATGGGATAGTATTTATTTTCTGTTCTACCGCAATGCATGAGTTGAGGTTTTTAAATTAATGACAATTTTGGTTATAGGGCTATCGAATGAAAAGTAGGGCTTTTGGATGTTGAGTAGGTCTGTTGGTTTTTAAGCAAATGAATGGATGCCTGATAGGGCTAATGCATGTTAGGTAGGGCGAATGGATGTCAGGCAGGGCAATTGCATGAGTGGAAACTATTGACTGTCAGTTAGTGCTATTGGCTGTCAGGTAGGGCTATTGGATGGTAGGTAGGGCTATTGGATGGTAGGTAGGGCTATTGGATGGTAGGTAGGGCTATTGGATGGTAGGTAGGGCTATTTGATGGTATGTAGATGTGGTAGGTAGGGCTACTGACTGTCTGGTAGGGCCATTGGATGGTAGTTAGGGCCATTGGATGGTAGTTAGGGCTATTGGATGGTAGGTACGGCTATTGGATGGTAGGTAGGGCTATTTGATGGTATGTAGATGTGGTAGGTAGGGCTACTGACTGTCAGGTAGGGCCATTGGATGGTAGTTAGGGCCATTGGATGGTAGACAGGGCCATTGGATGGTAGGTAGGGCTATTGGATGGTAGGTAGGGCTATTGGATGGTAGATAGGGCTATTTTATGGCATGTAGATGTGGTGGGTAAGGCTATTGGATGGTATGTAGATGTGGTGGGTAGGGCTATTAGATGGTATGTAGATGTGGTGGGTAGGGCTATTAGATGGTAGGTAGATGTGGTGGGTAGGGCTATTAGATGGTAGGTAGATGTGGTGGGTAGGGCTATTGTATGGTAGGTAGATGTGGTAGGTAAGGCTATTATAAGTAAGGTTGGATACTAGACATTGAGTTTTGTTTTGCAATGCTAAATTATTTATGTTTAGTTGAGTTAATTATGTGTTGGGCTAATTATGCTATATATCAAGTGTTTGACTGATGTAGGTGTCAACTTAGGTGAGCCACAATACAGTAGGGGTGGTTAAAAATAGTGGACAATTTAGTAAAGCTTGAAATTTCTTTTCAAGAATTTTCTGAAGTTTGGTACAGTATTTGGATTGTGCATTAAAATGGACTGTCAAGTGGGCTGTGTTCAAATATTTTCGATTACAGTCGAACTTATCTGAGTGAAATCTGGAGGAACTACAAAAAATTGACTAACTTTGAGTTGGAGAATGTGGGTCCATTTGGGTAGATTGATCAGTGGAAATTAGTTTCAGGCTTAAATATTTAGAAGACAGTAAAGCTGCCCTTCATGCAGAAAAATGCATTATTCATTCTTGAGAGAATGAGAAAGTACTTAGCATATATTTGGTTTTGTTTTGAACTAGCTTTCCAAACTTACCCCTCATTCAAAAACAAAAGGTATTACAAATTTGTTCAAGGGGGATTTGACCCACAAATTTAAATTTGAGGAGTGTTACATAGCATTGATTTTTAGGGAGTAAATGCTGTAAATCATTGTAATGAGTAGGATGTACTGTACCACCTTTTCCTTGANTGCAGAAGAATCTGTTCTTGAAGTCCTCAGTGATTCTGAATTGAACTAGGTTCTGTAAAGTAAAATGAGGGTGCAGGCAATACCTTTCTGATGCTTCTTGAAAAAATATCTTGATGCAGTACATGATCAACCAGATTCATGGTATACCTTGCAAGTTTGCTATCAAGAAAAAAGAAATTGTTGGAACATTTATTTTCTTACCATTTCCTAAAAGGCAATGATTCAGGCGACACCTGAGTGACATCAGTGGAAGCAATTTTTTTTGCTCTGGATGACAGATATTTTCATGTAAGACTGTACAGGTTATTTTTTCAAGGTTGGAAGCAGGAAGCTTCTTCACCCATTTCTCCATTTTTCTACATTTTCTCTCCCCTCTCCCTCTGGATTCAAAAGCTCCTTGCACCATTTTTCATCCCTGTACTTCTGGTGAATCAAATAGACTGCAAGGTGAATGGGGTGGATTTCCTGAGTCTAGTATGTGTGTGTGTATGTGCTGTGCGTGACACTGAGTTTGCTCTCAAAACTTTGCCTGAAGCACTGAACAAATAAAAATGAAAAAAGTAATGAAGAGCGTGGAGGGTAAAATGAAATTTCACTCTTTTTTCACACCATAAGCAGGGAAGCCAGGAGTACAGTACAGTAAATGAACCCCTCCTCCTGCCTCCTTGAAATTTCAGCCTGTGATTTCCCCGCGCACCCTGTATCTGTCCTTCCCTCACTGGGAACCATTGATATTTACTCTCGGACATTTCAATCCCACTCCCTCTCTTCTGGTGCCTCACTGTCTCTCTCTCTCTCTCTGTTTCTCGCTGTCTCCCAAAGTAACTTTGTCTGTTTCCTACAAATTTGAAGCCTGGCGCGCGAAAAGGAGTAGAATCCCATAGTTGCGACTGGGTTTTATTTCCCGTCCCGGGTTCAGTCGACGCGTTGACGCGGCCTTGAGCACCGGCCCAATTTCCTTTTTTTCCTTGTTTTTTTGCGTGTCTTCATATACTGTATATGATTGACCGCCGTATGTGTTGATATGTGTTTTGTGCGTGTATGTATGCGTACTGTACTGTATAGTCTATAAAAGTATGATGGTTGATCCACAAGTCTTTGCCAGTTGATAATTACATCATGGGATGCGCCCTCAGTTCTTCTTTGTGCATGTGTTCCAAGGAGCTTTTGACAACGACGGGATAATATTTATTTTCAGTTCTACCGCAATGCATGAATTGAGGTTTTTGAAACAATGACAATTTTGGCTATGCTTTTTGTTGACTTATTGGATGCTAGATAGGGCTATTGCGTGTTAGGTAGGGCTATTGGATGCTGAGTAGGTCTGTTGGTTTTCAAGTAAATGTAATCGATGTTTGATAGGGCTAATGAATGTTAGGTAGGGCGAATGGATGTCAGGCAGGGCAATTGCATGTCAGGAAACTATTGACTGCCAGTTAGGGCTATTGGCTGTCAGGTAGGGCTATTGGATGGTAGGTGGGGCTACTGACTGTCAGGTAGGGCCATTGGATGGTAGGTAGGGCCATTTGCTGTCAGGTAGGGCTATTGGCTGTCAGGTAGGGCTATTGGCTGTCAGGTAGGGCTATTGGCTGTCAGGTAGGGCTATTGGCTGTCAGGTAGGGACATTGGATGGTAGGCAGGGCCATTGGATGGTAGGTAGGGCTATTGGATGGTAGGTAGGGCTATTGGATGGTAGGTAGGGCTTTTGACTGTCAGGTAGGGCCATTGGATGGTAGGTAGGGCTATTGACAATCAGGTAGGGCCATTGGATAGTAGGTAGGGCTATTGGATGGTAGGTAGATGTGGTAGGTAAGGTTATTATATGTAAGGTTGGATATTAGACATTGAGTTTTGTTTTGCAATGCTAAATTATTTATGTTTAGTTGAGTTAGTTATGTGTTGGGCTAATTATGCTATATATCAAGTGTTTGACTGATGTAGGTGTCAACTTAGGTGAGCCACAATACAGTAGGGGTTCAATTTTTATCACCTGTTAAATCATTTCGAACTTTAAAGAAAAGTTCTTAAAAGACTTCAAACCATGTCATAAACCTAACACGTAATTTTACCTGACAGTTCACCCGACACAAGTTTATAAAAGCTATACAGTCGAACTTATCTGAGTGAAATCTGGAGGAACTACAAAAAATTGACTAACTTTGAGTTGGAGAATGTGGGTCCATTTGGGTAGATTGATCAGTGGAAATTAGTTTCAGGCTTAAATATTTAGAAGACAGTAAAGCTGCCCTTCATGCAGAAAAATGCATTATTCATTCTTGAGAGAATGAGAAAGTACTTGGCATATATTTGGTTTTGTTTTGAACTAGCTTTCCAAACTTACCCCTCATTCAAAAACAAAAGGTATTACAAATTTGTTCAAGCCCCTAAACTGGGTGTTTAAATTTAAACTCCTCACAATGTATCGTAACTAAAAATCCCTCATTTACGACATTTAGTAACATTACTCATCCTACATGACATGGTGGAAAAGGAACTCGGAACAGTCTACTGAAAAATTATTGTAGAAAATATTTATCCAATTTCCATTGTTCGTGAATGAATATTTGTTAGCATTTAGTAAAATAAATACATTTTTTTTTATTCAGGGAGGTTTGACACCCAAAAAATGATATTTTTTGTGAAATATGAAATACATTTCACTCCAGGGAAATTGACTAGAGATAAACTGGTAATTGGAGTTGATTCTTTTAATTGGTATCAATTTGAGAATATATTATTGATTTGCATATGTTATCAAATTAAACTTCTTCAAAAGTGTTGCTAATCATGCTGATAATGATGATACAGCATTAAAGAACAGAGAAAAATAAAACTTGTGACCCAACCCCTCATTATGCTGTAGTCTTGTCCTCACCTCGCATTTTTGGTCACATAACTCTAGCTGTGTTTCTCTCTCTGTCTTCCTTACAACATTCACTCATCTGTTACTTTTTGTTTCATTTTTATTTTTGAAGAACGGGGTCGCGACCTCGGAAAGCCCGTGGCCTAGTTTTATTCTGCTCCCCCCCCCCCAATCCTCGCGTTCCCGGTTGATATTACGAGTTTATTTTACTTCTTTTTTTTTCTTTATATGCTTTGCGAGTGGCCCTTGATGAAGGAGGGAATTTTCGTGGTCGAGGGCAACCCTGGCTCTGACCTGGTTTTTCCCTTTCTCTCTATCTCTCTGACTCGTGCTGTTCCAGTGCTGTGGGTCGGGAAGATGACCCATTTCGGGGCGCGAGTCCCNATTTGCTGTCAGGTAGGGCTATTGGCTGTCAGGTAGGGCTATTGGCTGTCAGGTAGGGCTATTGGCTGTCAGGTAGGGCTATTGGCTGTCAGGTAGGGACATTGGATGGTAGGCAGGGCCATTGGATGGTAGGTAGGGCTATTGGATGGTAGGTAGGGCTATTGGATGGTAGGTAGGGCTTTTGACTGTCAGGTAGGGCCATTGGATGGTAGGTAGGGCTATTGACAATCAGGTAGGGCCATTGGATAGTAGGTAGGGCTATTGGATGGTAGGTAGATGTGGTAGGTAAGGTTATTATATGTAAGGTTGGATATTAGACATTGAGTTTTGTTTTGCAATGCTAAATTATTTATGTTTAGTTGAGTTAGTTATGTGTTGGGCTAATTATGCTATATATCAAGTGTTTGACTGATGTAGGTGTCAACTTAGGTGAGCCACAATACAGTAGGGGTTGTTAAAAATAGTGGACAATTTAGTAAAGCTTGAAATTTCTTTTCAAGAATTTTCTGAAGTTTGGTACAGTATTTGGATTGTGCATTAAAATGGACTGTCAAGTGGGCTGTGTTCAAATATTTTCGATTACAGTCGAACTTATCTGAGTGAAATCTGGAGGAACTACAAAAAATTGACTAACTTTGAGTTGGAGAATGTGGGTCCATTTGGGTAGATTGATCAGTGGAAATTAGTTTCAGGCTTAAATATTTAGAAGACAGTAAAGCTGCCCTTCATGCAGAAAAATGTATTATTCATTCTTGAGAGAATGAGAAAGTACTTAGCATATATTTGGTTTTGTTTTGAACTAGCTTTCCAAACTTACCCCTCATTCAAAAACAAAAGGTATTACAAATTTGATCAAGGGGGATTTGACCCACAAATTTAAATTTGAGGAGTGTTACATAGCATTGATTTTTAGGGAGTAAATGCTGTAAATCATTGTAATGAGTAGGATGTACTGTACCACCTTTTCCTTGAGCCTTGTCAGATATAAGAAATTATTGTCGAAAATATTTATTCAATTTCTATTGTTTGTGAATAAATAATTTTTACCATTAAGTAAAATAGAAACATTTTTTCAGGAACAGGTGGTGTAAGACAGCTACAATTTAATACAAAAAGGCACCCAAAGTTTGATCAAGGGAGGTTTGACACCCAAAAAATGTAATTTTTGTGAAATATGAAATACATTTCACTTCAGGGAAATTGACTAGAGATAAACTGGTGATTGGAGTTGATACTTTTGATTGGTATCAATTTGAGAATATATTATCGATTTGCATATGTTATCAAATTAAACTCCTTCAAAAGTGTTGCCAATCATGCTGATGATGATGATACAGCATTAAAGAACAGAGAAAAATAAAACTTGTGACCCAACCCCTCATTATAAGTCTTGTCCTCACCTCGCATTTTTGGTCACATAACTCTAGCTGTGTTTCTTTCTCTGTCTTCCTTACAACATTCACTCATCTGTTACTTTTTGTTTCATTTTTATTTTTGAAGAACGGGGTCGCGACCTCGGAAAGCCCGTGGCCTAGTTTTATTCTGCTCCCCCCCCCCCAATCCTCGCGTTCCCGGTTGATATTACGAGTTTATTTTACTTCTTTTTTTTTTTTATATGCTTTGCGAGTGGCCCTTGATGAAGGAGGGAATTTTCGTGGTCGAGGGCAACCCTGGCTCTGACCTGGTTTTTCCCTTTCTCTCTATCTCTCTGACTCGTGCAGTTCCAGTGCTGTGGGTCGGGAAGATGACCCATTTCGGGGCGCGAGTCCCGCGTTACTCGTGGCACGGTTTTTTTTTTTTTTTTTTTTTTTTTCCTGGACTTCTCTTCCTGTGCTTGTATCATCAATTTGTCTGGCTTCTCTGGTACAGTAGAACTAGAGTGGGTACGATACTGTACATGGGAATTCACTATGGTGAATAATGAAGGGGTTTGTTTGAGGAGTGATTTGCTGTGCGGGGTTTTGTGTCTGTGCGTGTGTGGCGTGAAAGAGGCGAATTTTAAAATATCAAATGCAGTTTTAATTTTAATGTGTTTTTCGTTTTGGAATCTGCTCAAGTTCCCTGTGATTTTTTTTTTCGAATTTTTTTTGTGGTGTGCGACGATTTGAAGTGGTAATGGGAGACCTTTTTTGTGGTTGCATATTCTCTGTGATATACTGTACTTATTTTTGTGAAGGTCACGGAGGTGAATTTGTAAATTGTCTGCGGTTTTAAACTTTTAATAACTGGATTCGATGATTCTCGAGGAGTATACAGTATTTTATTCTGGGTATAATTTTGTAAATTGTTATAATTTGGAGATTGGAAACGAAGAGAAACAACCACAGTGGTAAAATACAGTAGAAATCTCGTTATAGCGAAACCTCTGGGATTTTGAAATGCTTCGTTGTGAGGAAAAATTCGTTGAAACGGAATGGAAAGAAACATTTTGGCTATTAGACAAGGACTAAAAGACAAGTAAAATCGTTGCAATAGTCAGTTCGTTATGACGATATTCCTTATAACGAGATTGCACTGTATATGAAATGAAACTTTTCCTCAAATTTACACATTCAATTGCTGCATTATTTTAAGGTATGCTGTACTTTCTTCAAACATCAATTTTCACATGAGAGGCGACATTATGATCCAATGGACTTCAGTGTGAGATTTATTATTATTTTTTTCTGTGATGAGGAGATTCAATTTTGCATGTGTTAAAAAGGCAATTTTTTATTTATTTGTCACGGATGGACACTACTTAGTTATTAAACTTTTGTTGGAAGGAATTGCTTGAGTTTTCAGTTTAAAAAAAAATAGCGTACATATTTGTAAAATTATGTGAGAAAATTTACAAGCAAGTACTTAATGTTTTGACGTGTGGCAATGAGAAAGGTTTAGTCAACAAAGAAGGTGATTTATGAAAGATTTTCAGTTGGAGAAAATATTGTCACTGTGTTTTGATGCTGGAGAACCATAGTTTAGTTCTTGAATGTTTCTATGATTTAATGTTTTTATGATTTTCTTTGCTTGTTCAATGATTTTTGCTACTTCACACACTCCACAGTATCTGCAAACTGTAGTTGAGAATAGCTTTACTAGAATCCTAAATTTTCATTTCAGTTTTTTAGTTTCACTTTGATCTTCAAAATGCCTCACTTGGGGAGTCACTCTAGATGCTTTCAAGTTGAGTGAATCCTTTATTATTTGCCCAAGCATATTTTGAGGAATGTGTTTCAGTTTATGATTACTGTGTGTGTGTGTGTGTGTGTGTTTTGCCAAATGATGTGTTGTTATTAAAATGCCCAAAACAACTACACAAAACTAGAACACTTTTCTTTGAAATAAACTAATTCCTTGGAATTTTGTTCCCCTTGCAGGTCAAAGTGAATATACTTTGATGTGCTGCAGATATAGAAGGCTGCAACCACTACCTCTTTAGCAAATGGCAACAAGTTCAATGAATTTTATTTTTTGAGAATTTTTTTCTCTTCATTAATTCTTTTTTCATTATTGAAGATGGATTTCATTTCTATAAACTAATAGAAATAAACCCCCTCACAAGATGAATATTGCCAGAAGTTGAGTACATTACAGTGCAATGAATCATTCCCCTGGGGAAATTGTGCTTCATTGTCACTTTATTTCCCTTCCCTCTGTGCTCTTCATTCTTCATGTAATTCCTGTCTGATATTTATTTCATTCCCTCTTGCAATCTTTTCTCTCTTGAAAGCGGATTTCTTTTCTGATGGGGGATGGTAGTAGGTTTACATCCGCCAGCCAGCCTTTGATTTCCGCATCTTATCCCCCAGGCGGATCCCCGCTTTCCAGGGACAAATCAAAGTTACTCCGAAGAGGAGGGTAGCTTTGAACCCTTTCAAGGGCGCGAATTAGTCCAGGAAATCAGCAGGTCGCTGTCTCTCACTCAACCTGTCCACGGAGAACATGCTTTGCTGGCTGGCTGGTTGGCAGGCAGGCAGGCTGGCTGTTGGCGGAGACAGCCTGCCCACCACTGTCTCTCGCGCGCAGATATATCTCTCTCTCTCCCTCTCCTACCCCGGATGGTGTATCTGGGGGTTGTTCATAAAGTTATCTGTATGCTGTACATATGTCTGTTGTTCCTCTTGTTTTTCTTTCTACTACTCATGGATGGAGATTGATTACAGTACTGTAAAGTTGAATACTTGACTTGTACCACCCTTTGTTGGTGACACATATTTCAATTGACAGGAATACTGTATTCATGCCACCTGTGTACAGTACTCTCAGTTTACTTCCACCATGGTTTTGTGCCAAGAATGGTGGCCCTAAGTTAAAGGCTGAATGGAATACTTGGTTGTTGACTGACCACTGTTGAAATGTTTGTGTCAAGCTTGGGGAGATGGAAAAACTTCTCAACGGAATTTTTTCAGCTTGTCCCTCAAAGTTTGATTTAAAGAGGTTCCAGTGGGTAATAAAGTAGAAACAGGAAATAGAATATAATTTATAAAGAATTCTGATGATTTCACTGCAGAATAGGCACAATTGTGTTAGGCTCTCCATGGATATCACTTGAAAAAATGAAAAGGATCTTTTGTTGAACAATGTATTGTACATGTACAGTACTTCCACTCATACTTTTGCCCAATTAACTACCTGCGGGAACTTAAATTTAGCAATCCTCATTCTCACATGGAAAAAGTTATTTACACATACACATACATGCATGTAGACTCTCTCTGAAAGAAAATTCATGGGACCAAAGAAAAAAAATCTCTGTAGAGAATTTATGTTCACAGAATACC